ATATAAAATTGAATTATATATATTTCAAAGGTATAAAAGAGCACAAGATTGTGTTAAACGTACCTATCCAGTGATTTTTACGTTTATTACCTATCTAGTTGAGTGATTGCGTGATTATTGTTAATGGTTGTATTTAATTGTCAAAATTATGACACACTTTCACAAAATATCGCGAGAAAAACGCTATGACATTGAGTACATCGTACGCGTGTGATCATGCTAGTAAAATAAATGTTAATTACGCGCGTATGTATTATTAAATAAACTTTATTGTGTTATAAACTTAGAGACTACATATGATTTAAAATGTTTACAGTTCCAGAAGCGATAGCGTCATGAATATATAATGCAAAATTGTAATTGCATTTAATTGAGGACAAAGTAGGGGTAAAGCGATAAAAGGCAAATGATTGAGACATTGAGATGTAGCAAACTTGCAGTAATTAATCTCCAAATCCAAACCATTTGTGTTCCATATAGGAAGCAGCTTAAACAGATCTGATAAAAAAATCTATATAATAAAATATAAATATATATAACATTATATATAAAACATGTGTGTGTTTTTTTTTGTAATCTCTGTTCTTATATAAAAATAATTAGAAGACTAATTTTTACATTGTTTCCTTTTTATAAAAAATAAAATTTAAAAAAGAAATTATTCACATATAATAACGTATAAAATTATATATATATAATTATATACCCATACAACACAGAATTTGCAGCAATATTGCTGCAAAATCTCTGCAATATTGCTGCAACATGTAATGTTGCAACTTTTGTGCAATTTTGTGTAGAGATATTGAATATTGTATAATATTACTATAATTTTCCTTTTTATAACGAAAAACAATGCAAAGATTATTTTTCTATTTTTTCTATTTTTAGTCTTCTTATTTTTTTTTTTTATATAGTATATAATTTTATATATATATTTGTATTTAATTATATATAGGTTTTTTTATTGATGCTGAAATTTTACTCCATTCATATAGACCACAAACAAAACACATTGTAATGTATTACAATACAAAATAATATAGAATAATACAAGTATGTATGAATATACATTTACTGCGACGCGCTGTAATGCTACAATATATTAAGAATAGCATTCATTGAAATACGAAAAAACATAATGAAAACACATATTTTTATAAAATAAAGAGATGAGAAATGTTCAGGTATTTCACATTTGCCTTTTTATGTATATATTAATGTAGCTAGTATAATTTTCTATAAATATTATATATTTTTTTTAAATATTATATATAAATATATATATATGAAATAAATGTATGTATTTATGTATATGTACGTGTATATATAAATACATATACACAAAGATTAATGATAAAATATATGTTATTGTAATGTTAAAAAAAACAAACGAAAATGCAGTTTATGTCGGTAATTATTAATAATCTGCTCCTTATTAACATTTACATACGCAATTGTATTCATACTATTGGGTGTAGGATGCCTTTTACATATTGTACTTAGCGAGCGGAGATCTCGGCAAACCATTGTAAAAGATAATAATATTAATTTATAAGAACTCTGTTCGTCTATTGTACAAATAATTTGGATTCGCAAACTTGCAAATCCATCTATTTGCAATGAAGATCTCCTTCTGTCATTAAATTTCTATATTGTATAAATAAAGCTGAATAAAAATCTCTGGGGTATCGTATCTGGCTTGTACTTGTCTAATTAATCAGTATCTATTTTTTATATAAACATTATTGCATTAATATTACTAGTATAAAAAGCTAAAAAATTAATAGCTCTCATGGTGATCATTTTTTTACTCAAACTTCGATTAACTCCTAATAGAAACAATTATTTTTGTAAAGAAATATGTTAGTCTTTAGGATGCAACTAATAAAATTTTTTGTTATTTTAAAAGTTTTAAAATTATGTCAAAAATTATACTTAGCATAAATTATACTCTTGTACTTAGCATAAATATACATATGATAATTAGCCATGAATAGAACAATATGAAAAATGTGATTGAAATATAAAATTATTTCAAATTATTACGCTATTTATAAATTAAAATGTTTCATGGTAATTATTTTTAAAAGTTTTTGGAATCGCTGAGACACAGATCATTGATTTGAGAAATAAAAAAATTAATTTTAAATGACAAATCTAATAAATTATGATGGATACAAGAATAAGATATATATTTAAATTCTATAATTCTATAATTTGAGAAATATTTTGGAATTACAATGAAAATAATTTTTTATATTTTCCGATAGTATTTAAATACTATATTTTTTATTAAAATCTAAGCGATTCCCTTTAAAATATGCCTCATTGAATTCGATATTTACAACATGTAACTTATAAGTGAGATATGAGATGTGATTTTTGAAATAACTTTTTAATGTTGAAATACATGTACATGTTATGTTTCATTAGATATACCAATATATGAAAAATTCTACACAATCGTGATTAATTCAACCAGCATAATCATTTAATTAATAAAATTTTTAATTTTCAATTAATTATTACGTCGTCCCTAACTTATATCTCTCTATGTGTTGACGACAAACAAATAATAATTGTGCGCTAAGCTCATTTAATAAATACTGAAGATATTATTTGGGGAGCTTTCTATTTATTAAGTCAACATAAGTGTCATTCAGTTTTGTTACTCATTGTATCAACAAACAATAAATAGAATGATGATTGTATTGACTTGTTATCAAAT